GCCTTTAACCTTCTTTTCATGCCACATTATAGAGGCCCAACATGAAACAGAAGTGTTTACAAGTATTTATTAACTACTTAGTAAAGTCAACAGTAAAAACCAAAAACAAAACTCTGTAAGCTTTTTAAAAATGTGTTAGGTAGCCACAGTATAATCAATTTCTTACACTTACCATTATTAATATTTATAAAAAGATTAGCTTGCAGAAATAAAGTTCATCATTCATTGAAAACTCAAATGCTGGACATGTTTATTAACAAAGGGATAAATCCTCTTTGTTGCTCTTTCAAATGTAATAGACTCTGCTTTTCTTACAGTAAAACTAAAAAGAGCACTGCATCAAGATTTTATGAATAGATACCAAATTCTAAACCTTTTTAAAGCTTTAATGATTTTAATTTTTTAAATATCTAAAACAGACTACCTTTTTGTTTTAAAAGAACCCAATAAATAAGTACCCATGGTAACTTATTTTTGTCCTGATAGACAAAAATAATAAAAAATAAAGTTATCAACAGTGTCTGCTATGATTTTTAAAATTTTTCTTTTTTTTCTTTTTTAATACATCTTTATTGATTTCAGAGAGAGGAAGGGAGGGAAGGAGAGAGAGAGAAACATCAGTGATGAGAGAGTCATTGATCAGCTGCCTCCTGCACGCCCCCCACTGGGGATCGAGCCCTTAACCCAGGCATGTGCCCTGACTGGGAATCGAACCCTGATCGCCTGGATCCTAGGTCGACGCTCAACCGCTGAGCCATGCCCAGCAGGGCTAAAATTTGTTTTCAATGAGGTATAGTTCATTTTAAAAAATTTACCAGTGTCGCATTTTTCTTTCCAAATTGTTTTCCAGGACCATAAAGGTCTTATTTTTTCGTTTCATTGCTGTCTTATTTCATTGATAATTTTATTAAAGTAGGAAAAATTCTGCCCCAAACCACTTCATTACGCAAAACACAAATTTCAAGATACTTGGACATGATTCATTTATGCATGCAAAAATTGTCTGTGCATATGCTATATGTAAAACATAGTGAACAAATGAAAAATAGAAGCATGATCCTTTGCCTCACTGCAACTTAATCCTCTTGAATTCATTATACTAAACGTGCCTAACCTTGAGAATTCCCTCTCACCTTGAGCTGTCACAAAAAGCTCAAGTACTTTCATAATAATGAAGTAACGTGATGTGGTGTAAATAGCCAGGTAACAGGTTGTCACCAAAGCCTGTTTTCACTCATGTAAAATAAAGTAGTTGTACTGGATCTCTTTTTATTTAAATAGGCTGTTAGGGACTTAATTCAGGACCTGCTCTATGACTTATAATAGCAAAAACCTGTTAACAACTTAAACAACATTCCAAGCAATGAAATACTATGTTACCCTTAAAAAAAAGCTATAGATCCATAAGTGCTCATTCAGAAGGATGTCCCAGATAGGCCGTTTTTTGTTGTTGTTTTTTTAAATTTTATTTATTGATTTGAGAGAAACATCCATCATTCGTTGTTCGACTCATTCATTAACTGATTCCTGTATATGCCTGACCAGATTGAACCTGGGGATCAAATCGCAACCTTGGCATATCCAGACAATGCTCTAATCAACTGAGCTAATCCGGCCAGGGTCCAGATAGCCTGTTAAAACAAAAATGCAAAATGCAGATAGTGTGGCCAAATTCACATGCATTTTTAGGACAGATATACGTATATGTACAGAAATGTTCTAAGACACACAAGAAACTTCAAATGGTCACCAGTGGGAAATAGGGTGTTAACTTTTTTAAACCTCTTAGTCTTTTTATAATATTTCAAAAAAAATTTTTTTAAATAATGAACATGTATTATCTTAATGAATCTTTTTAAAAACCTAAAAGTAAAGGTCTGCTGATTCAGGTTGTATAATTAGAAAAGACCTGCATTCAAATACTGGCTTTGCTATTTACCATGTGTGATGTTAAGCTACTTAAACCTCAATTTTCCCGTCCGTAAAAAGGAGTTAATAGTACGAACCTCACACAACTGTCTGGAGGGTAAAAGAAAATCATGCATGTAAGATACTCAGCATAGCACATTGAAAGAGAACAACTATTATCAGCTGTAATTATGATTATTATGAATGTTATTATAAACTCCACAAAGAGTATCTAGAATCAGATTTGACAATTCACTCAAGGATGACCAATCTCAAATACAATCAATTTCTTTTACCCAAAACTCACTCAATCGGGTCCACATAAGAGCATATTTAATAACTTAAAGTTAAATAAAAAAAAGGGCTCTTACAGCCCTAGCCAGTGTGGCTCAGTGGTTAGAGCATCAGCCCTCACACTGAAAGGTCGAGAGTTCGATTCTTGGTCAAGGGCATGTACATACCTAGATTGCAGGTTCAATCCCTGGCCCTGGTTGGAGCTCCTGCAAGAGGCAACCAATCAATGTGTCTCTCTCACATCGACATGTCAGTCTGTTTGTTTCTCTCTCTCCCTCCCCCCTTCCTCCTTCCACTCTCTCTAAAAATCAATGGAAAAAATATCCTCTGGTGAAGATATATTTTAAAAAAAGCTCTTAGGTAGCAGGTGAGCTGATGGATATGGTAATCAGAGTAAAGTTTGGGTTTTAATTGTCATCTAACTAGAACAGCCTTCTTCATTATATGGATATCTAAAAAGGAGCCAGAATACTCATGACAACTGGGCAAGGGACCCTGATTTTGTTGTGGTCTTTACAAAATGTTGAATACATAGGAATACACTTTTTTTTTTAGTAATTCAAGCTGCCAATGTGAGTTAATTTTAATATAAAGCAATTTCTCATTTTCCTAAAAATTTATGGCACTAATAGTTCATGCACACAAATTATGATTTAATTACAAATAATATGTCAAATGAATGGAGATATAAAAATGCAGTCTGCATAAAAATAAATTCCAAAAAGGCTTACTGAATGGTTTTTTAGTGGAATTTTTCCTCACAAAATTTTCCCAAAAGATCAAGAACACCTCCTAAACTTCTATGTAACAAGTGAAAAAATATTGCATTAAGGTATATTAAATCAATATGTAGTACAACTGGTTTGAGTCCATCATATCACAATTTTAACAAGCCTTCCTGGTATCAGAGAACAGTTGAAATATGGACATGATGAATTAAAGTTTAGATTACCTCAATTACAATTATAAAACAAGAGGTCACACACACATTTAATCTTCTTCAATATGAAAACAAAAGAGTTTCCACCTAATTTTTCTACCTTTAAATTTGTCAGGATTTAAACTGAATTTCATATCACACAAATATAGTTACATGTGAATACACTGAAGAGTTACTATAGCTTTCCTGAGAGTGACCTGAAGTTCCCACCAAAAATACTGGCTCCTCAATGAGGCTCTGAGAACTGTATGCCTACTTCATAGATTATTGCAGTATGCTGCACTGGCATTTGAAGAACGTATTGAACTAGCAACGTGAAAGTGAAGGGAACAGAGTTGATAAAAAATGGAAATGCTTCTTAACCTATAAGCAAGAGCTATCAGAAACACCATTTTAAAATACTACGTGCATTTCTAATTTTCTAATACTCAAAATACAGCAAGCAGATTATCTATGACAAGCAGATCTTCCAATCAATCCCTTCTCACCCCCACACAATGCTTTGCCAAGAACACAAGCCCAAGTAAAATAACCGATGCAATTTCCTTGTTTACTTAAAGAATTGCAGAAAACATGTTGACTGCTTCTGAGGCCTCTGAAACAAATGAATATTTAAAAGACCTTTCATGGTCATGTCTCAAATAAGAGAGTACTAATGATCCCTTCAGCTAATAAAAATACAGTCTTAACTTTATAAAAAGGGTTAAAATTTACACTGCAGCTCATTAGCATGTCTTCTTTGCAACCAGAAGGTGGGGGGCCAGCAAAACACACGAGATGGAAAACATCACTACCTCCTTTGGTGGTTATGAATAATTTTAAATGACCTCAAGATGGAAGGGAAGAGTTCATGAATAGAAAGAAAGGGGGTTAACCATCTGAAATGGCCCCTTCCAGATTCAAACTGATGTCGGAGAGAAGGAATTTATTTACACTGCAGTGCCTGGCAGCAAACATGGCTGCCCCTGCCCCCTTTAAATCTAAAGAGTCTTCACTCCTTCACCAAGACCATCAAATTATGGCCATGTCTCTCCCTGTCTTGCTATCGTAACACTAACACTTCTCCTCCCTCAACAGGGTAAAACCCACACCTCCGCATTTCACAACAACCATAACAGCATAACCACTTGCTTCTCTATTTTCCAGCCTTGAAAGAAAAGGCACAGAATACACACAAATATAGGAACAAAAGACTTTCCCTCCCTAACACTTTAATGACCCCCTTCCCCTTCTTTTCCTCCCACTCTGTGATGTTTGGTCGCTAGTTCCCATCATTTTCCATATTCAGTTAATTTCCTTCTCTATCCCAATACTAGGTCTTCCAGTTTCCTGAGTCTATTTCCTACCTTCCTTTTGCATCCAGTTTCAATCATTTCTCCTCCCTTTTCCTAATCCACCTCTTCCTCCACTTCCATTCCCTAGTTTCTCCCTTGATGCCCATGTCTCCATCAAATCCCATCTCCTTCCCCCAGACCCTCCCAGTTCCTACCCGACACCCCCAAGCCTCCCTATTCCTCCGCCTGCCCAGGTCTAACTCCGCTCCTCTTCCCCGCCCCTCCCCCGTCCATCTTTATC